ATTCTGAGTGATCCAATAGGTTTTGCTCGGTGCTCGTTAAAAATTTAAAAAAAAAAGTTCTATATAAAACAAAAATTCTCTGCTTTAAAGTAATTTTATAACCGCTTAAAAAGATGTATGTCTAGTAAGCTGGCGGGAAGTGGAGTGGACCTCGCGTGGAAAGTTGAACCCATGTAGAATAGCATTATTATAGACCTCGTTCGTCCGTGATGTAGTGAACTTTGTAAGTAAGTGAACAACATATATTAAGATCAAAACCAATGGAGGGTGATCCCTATTACCATAACATTACCTTTCATATATATATTAGGTGTTGGAATTATGCATAAACTCACATTGCATAACAAACTAAATGAAAATATTTATATTTAGCTTAAGTACATAAAATTCAAATGTATTTTTTCACAGCCATATATATATATTAGGGAATTATTAATTTTTAATATTTAAAATTAAAATAATTTTTCTATTTCTTTTTAGTTTTATAAAATGTATTGCACGCTTATTCTAAAAAATTAGTTTTTATACATCCAATATATGTGTATATGTAATGGATGTATTGCACGTGCGTAACATATTTGTAAAGTCAGAATCCTTTTATTTATAAAAGTTAAAAAATAGACTATTAGTTATAAAAATATACTTTAACAGATGTTTCTAAACAGGTCAGAATGATAGATATCAAGCAATAAAATTGGAGCAACTGTTCAACAAACCTGTCTACACGTTCGTTAAAACTGATGAAAATGCCAATATTAAGTGGGGTGTACGATATTATGTTCCGCATTAAGGCAAACTGGATTCAAAAATTAAATATAAGAATTAAAAAATGCTTAGTATGCTAAATTATTAGTTCGATGATATATCGCAAAAATTAGTACAGATACAAGCGATATCTTTAATCCAATTTAAGCACTTCAAGGTATTTTTTCTGCATTTGAGCTATCAAATCATCTAGCCTAAAAAGATAAAACACAAAATAAATCTATGTTAAAATTGAACATCGTAATAAAAAAAAAGACTTACATGTAACGCATGATCAAATTATTGTATATCACATTATCTTCTGATTGAATAATGCTGCTTAATTCAGTGGTCAAGATATTTACAGATTGATAGTTGTTAGATTGTTGAGGAACACTGTTAGTATCCGACTGTGTCATTCTTTGATATTCTTCCCAATATAATTCCGTCATAGCAGTAACAGAAATAAATACTTTTTCTAATTTTGATAGTTCATTTTGCAACTTATCTATCTGCCTGTAGAAAATATATATTGAAGATATATGAGACGTATCGTTCATGATAAATAAATCTTTAAATACCTTGTAATATCAATTATGTTTTCATTACAAAGTTGTACTTCACGGGCAGTCATGAATTCAAACACTAATTTCGACATGTCCAATGGCTTTGCTGTTTTATGTGGACTTTCTTCCTTAAATTTCAAATATACATCACACATTTTGTCATATCTATAGAAATAGTAAAACAAAAAAAATATTAAAATGTAGCACATTTTACAATTTATAATACATTATACACTTACAGTACTGATAAATTTCCTATATAATCGGTAGCTTGAGCTTGATCTCTCAATTTATTATTATCTTCCTTCAAAGACATAAACTTCATTTTTATTTGATCGGCTGCAATAACTAATTTATCAACTTTGTTAAAATAAATTTGTATCTTTCTTTTATCAGCTATATCTTCGTCCGTCATATTCATATGTTTCATACGAATCGTATGTACTTGATCTGTAAGAATCTTTGTATTTTCCAATGTCTTCTCCATACTTGAATTAAATTTATCGATCTTTTGATGTAATAAATCCCTAAAATATGCAAAATATTATCGTACTTAATAGATAATTTTATAATGTTGTAGCATTAATATTATGTATGAAACTTACATATTTATACTCAGTGCAAAAATGTACAATTGAAATAAATACACTTCTGCTTTTGTAAAATATATCGTATGGTGATAATAATTTTTCAGTATTTCATAGTTTAATTCATTCTTTGATTGTGTCATCATTTTCTCCACTGCTGTAGGAATATTTAATGTAGGTATATCTTCTATTAAATAACACCCATTTCTGAAGAGAAACAAAACGTGATCCTACAGCAAAATTGTAATAAATTAAAAAATAGTAATTTATTTTGTAGTATCTTATAAATTGAATATACATACATTAATTTGTGATGCAAGTGACATGGTACTTTCAATTAGTATTGCACCTTTGTAATCAGTTAGCACTTGATGTTCAACTTCAATATTAGTATCTCTTTTTATTAACAACTGGAGATCTCTAAGAGTAGTATTACTATCAATTTCGTATGTATTAATTTTATAAAATGGCAGACAGAAAACGTACAGTATCTATGCATGAAAAACACAAATTAAATAATAAAAACAAAGAAATAAGAGTAAAATATGCTTAGCTTTTATACATACTTTGTTTAATAATGCGTTTTGTAACATTGTAAATACTGCTAAATGAGATGTACCAAATTTGTCAACCATTTTTCCTCTTTTATGTGGATCCCATTGTAAAACTAGTTGAAACCATTGGACCATTTTGTTTCGAAGACAGCTGATACAGGAAAAAATATTACACACACTGGTAAATATATAATATAAAAAATTATCAAACAAAAGTTATACATAAAAAAATTATTTTTTCTACAGAAGAAAGTATAGAAAAAATATATAATACATTCTTACTTTGATAAATGAGTTGGATTTTGAATGTCTTTTCCAAAAATGACTTTCCCTTCTAACTCATAAGCATGAATATCGTCATAACTCTTATTTTTTATGTATTTCATCCTGCAGAATTTAATTAAATTTAGAGTTTGACATTTGCATCAATTTTTTATTTCATCATTATATTTTTTACTTTTTACCATTCCATAGTATGTTGCATTGTTGGTAAAAATGGTCTTGTTCCAGTCACAAGTTCATAAAACAATATTCCTAAACTCCAATAATCGACAGAGCAACTATATTTCTCTTTCCATAGAAGTTCTGGGGCAACATAGTTTAAAGTGCCAACTAAAGAGGCAGATGTACTTGCTTCTCCAAGTTCTTTGGCATATCCGACATCTATCAATTTATATGAAATCTGTAATATATAAATGTAAAAGTTTAATTTAATCAATGCAACATAAGCTGATAATTCAACGTAAATAATATTTTCTCATTATATATCTTGCCACATTCTGTTCATCCTGTAAAACTATATTCTCTGGTTTTAAATCTCGATGAGTTATATTATATGAATGTAAATATTCTACAGCCGATGAAATTTCATTCATTACTTTGATTGCTTCTGTTTCACTAATTCCACAACAATTTTCTGGCCGATTTAAAATCTATAAGAGAACATAATTATTTCACATCATCAATAGACTTTGTATAGATCAGATTTTAAACAAAATACAACTTTTCTCAAATCTCCTTTTCTACAATATTCCATACAGAGAATCGGTTCGTTTTCTTCTATATTTGGAAGCTTGAATGGGATACATCCTGTTCTCACAATGTTTGGATGTTTCAAGCGTTTCATTATAAAAACTTCATGGGCCCATCTTTTTCGTTGTGTTGGCATCAATTGTGAATAATTACATTTACATCTTTTGATTGCTGAAATTATAATTATATGCAATAATACATATTTATTATATATTTACAATGTTATAAGTTTGTTTATATGTATGATTTCTTTCGGAGAATTCTTCAAAGTAAGATATATATACATTTTTTTTTATATTTATACTTGTAATTATACTGAAATGTTACCAATCTTTTTGCCACTTTGAACATGTATCCAAAGCTCGACAATTCCAAAGCCTCCGCTACCCAGAACACGATTTAGTTTCCAATCGTTTGATGTCATTTCGAATTTGTATTCAGCTATACAGATCGAGGACTAAATAATTCTTAGTAAACGTGATTCCATGCTGATAAAATAAATAACATTTTTATATTTTTCGTAAAAAAAAGCATGCACTCATACAAATTATAACACCGCCTATCAAACAATCGAGATTTTCTATCGAAAATACATCAGCTCGGCAAGAAAAAGAAATTATTTCAACGTAAATTTTTTACCAATGTATCGATGTTGTCTCTCATTAGCCTGCATATATGATTCAACATTTTCTGGATATCTCACTTGTGTATCGATGGTATATACCGATTGGCTACTGACTGCACATGTGACTGTCCTTATGATATTTTATTATATCAGTCATATGTATACTTTTCTACTCAGTGGAAAATTTATACTAAAGTTTATACACGCTAGTAGCAGAGAAAAATCTGCTGAGTGGCTCTTTCATTTGATTGGCATATTCCGTTAGATCCTAAAATATATAAACAAATAAAAGAGCTATTAGGCATTCAACAAGTTTTTAATACTTGTTCCGTTTTTTAACGCGTTTCAAATTTTGTCCTAAATTAAGATTAGTTCTGATAAGTTAAAATTCTTATTCCCTGTTCTCTATTCCTTTTAGCCCGGATCTACAGTATAATAGATTTTTAAGCCTTGTTAAGTCATAAGGAATGAACGAATCACAATCAATTACTTTCCTCGCATTCGACTATAATTGGTCAATTTCTTACGGTTTAAGATTTAAAACATCTATTGTAGATCTGGACTTATTGTGGAGCTCTTAAAGCCCGATTGTGGATTTTGAAAGGAGGTGAAAATTACAAAAGTGAGCAAAAATTACTAGGTATTGACCAATTAAATTATGAATACTCTTGAATTTGCTCACTGTTGTAATTTTCACCTCATTTGAAGATACACAATCGACTCTTAGATGGAACGAAAGCGACATCTCGATCAAACTAATTTTGATGACCATTTTTGACCATTCTTTTTGACGGCCTCGTCCGTGTAAGTTCGGTCTCCTTATTCTCTATATTCCATGAAATATCCTGCGTATACTCAAGCGCATGCGCTAATTAATTTTGTGTTTTGCCATCTTCCATTACTGGTAACGTATAACGTGTCAGAACTCAGAACGTGCAGGATCCAGTATCCAGTAGAATTTGATAGGATTGCAGGTTGTAGTTTAATCGAGTCTGATGTTTTTCCTTCGCGTCCCTTCGTTCCTTCGCGTCAAGTGTTAAGAACCGTTTATTTCGTCTCTTCTTGTTTTGTGATTCTATCTGATTCTTTTTGATTGCTCGACTGTTTCGAATCGCCATAAATCGCCATTCATCGTTCAAGATTGTCCGAGACGCCTCAACTTATTTCAGACTTAAATGGATATAGATTGCATCGCACGAATCCGTGAAATGCTCTGTGGAATACGAAGAAATATTTTTCTCTTTATTTTTATACAAGGCACTTCGCAGAAAGATAAATAACGTTACATTTCGTCTTTCATATTTTCAAGAAGCATCTGGGTTTTCCTTGCTAGTACAGGAACGGAGGCTGTAAAAAAGACGTTTGAAGATGGCATCGCAAGAAGCACGGGATTTTCATATGGCATACGACACGCATGAAAAGTTGAATTGTTTAGGCGTGACAGAAAATGCAGTTAGCTTGAATAGCGTATTTATTTTCTTTAATTGAGAACTTTTTGATCATTGTATAAAAAATAAATTTACTTTCGATTTGATATCTTTATTGCATTGTAAAAGAAAATTGTTTATTTTTAGAAACATGCTTATATACGATCATTAGTCGATCAAGCATTGGAGTTGATTGATCCTACTCCTAATATTCACACAATGTTTATGCAATTTAATGTAAGATTTTTCTGGAATGTTTTATCTTCTGTCGAAGTCAAATGGAGCAACAGAATGACAAGGTAAATATTTCTCATAATTTGAGGCATTTTCTAGAAAGGGCATAGTGTAACAATGGACATTATATCCTTGTTTACCAATATGAAACAAAGATGAAATAATTCACTGTGTTATATTATGTTCTTGCTGATATAAAATATTGTTATTTAGAATGTGTTTCACTCTCAAAGCTTATAAAATCATTTATTTACGAAATATTAAACAAGGGGATCGTTTGTATATTTTGAAATGCAATGAAAATTACAAAAATAAGCAAATTCATCAAAATATTTTTATTATTAATCAATAATCAATTTGTTCACTTTTGTAATTTTTAGCTTGTTTCATGATACACAATCAACCCAAAAAACAAATAATTGCAAATGCCAATGTGAAGCCTTTATATAAGAGGCCTATTCTTTTGGCTGAACTTCTACACTAGTTTATCTTTCTTCCTCTTTTTTTCCTCTTAGAGAGAAAAGGAAGAAAGATGAATAGTGCAAAAGTTCAGCCATAAAGAACAGGCCTAAGGTTTGTTTTTTGTTTTTGCACTGATTGTATTAGTTGAAAAAGTGTACACTAAAGCGTTTTGTGTTTCCAAAATTGTACCAACGACGCTATTCCAATGCAACAGAGCTTGAGGCACGAGTTCACTGGTTGCATTAATGGTCTGTTTTTTTTTGGCTGAACTTTTGCACCAGTTCATCTTCTTTTTCTCTCCAGGAAAAAAGAAGAGGAAAAAAGATGAACTGGTGCAAAAATCAGCCAAAAAGAACAAACCTGGTTTAACCATAGAAAACAAATCTTGTACAAATAGTACAAAGAATTTACGAGTAATAAAACAATAAAAAATATATAAATGATAGTAAGCCTACATACAAAAATATTTTGTACATCAGTTTTGGATTGCACTAGTTCAGTTCTAATACAATTCTCATGCAAGAATAGAAAACTAATGTGCAATTGTTTGTAGTTGTGCTGGAGTATGTCGCTTTCATTCGCGTAATAAGGAATGTGTGATATCACTCAGTGCACCACTACTTAAACTCAGACCAAGGAAGGATCTAGTAGAAACCTTATTGGTAAGTTTTTCGATATTAGTAGTAGCAGGAGGAAGAATAAATCTTGTAAAATGAGATATAGGAGGAGTAACATCGGAATCGAATCGGGGATTTGCCAATTATTTTTTTCTCATTGTTTAATTGGCTCTCAGTCCTATAAATGGAGCCAAATTGGTCAGTAACAAATCATCACTTAATTTAAGTCTTACATGGAGTGTAACTTAAACGCAGAAAAAATCTAGCATATGTGAGGCGCGATTGGAATCGAATTCGGTCCACAGATTGCTAGTTTGCAGATCGAGTGCTGAGCCATCCGACGCCTCACTTGCCAATTATGAGTATTTTGACATAGAGTCACCCCAAATTTTTTGATAAATAAATATAGAAATATGATTGTATAAAGATATTTTGTGTGTGTGTGTGTGTGTGTGTGTGTGTGTGTGTGTGTGTGTGTGTAATATTTGTGTGTGTTAAATTGCAGCACGAGATGATCCACGCATATTTATTTTTAACAAATAATGATCAGGACCGAGATGGTCATGGACCGAATTTCTGCAAACACATGCACAGGATAAATAAAGAAGCGGGAACCAATATAACGGTGAGCTAATAACCTTTTTATTTTAATATTTAAGAATATATTGTCGAACAGTGATATATAACTACTCCAAAAATTTACATTGTCACAGGTAATCCTTAAAATTGTTTATTATAACAGAAAGCAGATTTCAATAAGTTTAATTAATTATTTAAATGTTTTCGTGTTTCAAAAAGACAAATTTATATTTTATCATAAAGTCTAATCATATTAATACAAATGTTATGTAACATGAACTCATTTGGATATTAGAGAATCTTTAAGCTTAATCTGGATTTATTAACAAAGATTAAATATCCGAATATAGATTGGACTTGATTTTTTTCAAATAGATTTTGAAATTAAATTCTTAAAAACAATTTTATTTGTGCATTTGTAACAATAATTTTGTATTTTTAAATTTTTAAATTTTTTTATTCTGTAATAACAAGATTTTATCATGTTAATTGAGTATAGATTTATCACAACTTTCATGATGAAGTAAAGCTGTACAAACAGCATTGGTGGCAATGTAACGGATCTTGCCAATACAAACCACCATTCTTTGGAACAGTTCGACGAAGCATGAATCGTCCGCCCGGTTCAACAGACTTTTGGTGGCGTGAACATCAACAAAATTGTAATGGTCAATTTGTAAAGATCAAAGAGCCAGAGAATTTTAAATCGCGTTCAAAGGAAAATGATAAGTCAAAGCAAAATGATAAGTCCAAGCAAAATGATAAGTCAAAGAGTACAAGAATAACTAATTGGTTTCCAAAGAGTATTCCGGCAAAGCCGGAAGCTTTATTATACACAGCTATATCTACAACTTCAAAAGCCCTTAGTAATAATAACTCTAAAATATTTACTCAAACGGACAATGTTAAGCCTAGTACTAGTAAAAATAATGGTCGTACAAATTCATATCGCGTTGTGAATGTGAAATATGAAGATTTGTCACTGGGAATGAAGAAGTTTGGCAGCAGTAATAAGGTACAACATTGGTATACTAGTGGCCCGAGTGAAAACGCAAAGAAAGATAATGCAAAGAATGTTTCTAAGTCTCCCAAGTTTTCTTGCTCCGATGTTCTAGAAGGCAGTTATAGTAGTCTTCTAACCAAATTCAAACTAAATGACGATAAAAGTCCCCAACGTGAATCAAGTAAGAGAGATTCAATCTCGATATCGGCTGTGGGACAAGCAGCTGCTAATCATTCGATTTTAAATCTAAGTCAACCAAGAAATAATTCCGTACCTTGTCCTATATGTAACATACCTATGACTTTAGAAAATATATATAGACATATAGATTCATGCCTAATAAACGATAATACATCATTGATTGATGAGATTAACAATAATATTAATAATAATAATAATAATGAAGAGTTAATGTTACCTATTCGAACATTTTCTACATCGGTGACAGAGCAAAATGTTGACACAAATACAATTTCTAATAAGCGCTTAAAATTCGATAATTCGAATGATACAGTTGAATGCGTCATTTGTCCCGTTTGTAATAAAAGATTGCCGGCCACGGATATTAACCAGCATCTTGATGAATGTCTATTAGAAGCAGATACAGCTCGTAAAATTGCCACTCCCTCCACTTCTCGTGCATCATTCGATGATAGCTTAATTACTATAAGCAATTCCTCTAATTCTGATTTGGATAATTCTGTATTGATTGAGGAGCCACAACCAAGTACTAGCACTTGTAATAACGACATAATGAAACGTAAATGTTTAGTTTGTAACACACAGATCGCACCTGAAATATCATTAAATGAACATCTTGAAGAATGCATTGGAAGCGTCTTTAATGGCGACATAATAATAGATGATAAGGAGGACGATAACGATGATATGCTTGCTGTAGAAAATAATTCCACGGAAAATAAATATCCCTGTCCAGTATGTATGCAAATAATATCGGAAAATCTTATGAATCAGCATTTAGATATGTGCCTTAAAAATGAATAAATGGTCTTGTGAACAAAAAGAGCGACAATGAACTATTTTGCGGATGATGAAATGATTTTTTTATCTAAATAAGTATCTCTGAATAAATATCTTTTCATATATATATATATAATTTACTTCTTTGCATATCGCGATTTTATACGAGACAGACTAAAAAAAATGTATTATAATACGAAACAAAAACATTATTAAATAAATATTATATATGATTTAAAAAGATGTTTGTATATTACTTGTCATTTATTAAATAGAAATTTGAAATACATTATAACAAAAAATCTGTGTTACAAGAAAAGGCACAATTTACATGCCGGATGTTTATGAATTATTAACAATGTTTGTATAATTTGTATATAATGTGTGTGTTCGTATATATAATTTCATAGTATAAGTTTTTCGATGATTAAGACTGGTTAATGAGGAAGAGTTTAGATTATTTATCTAGAAATCGTTATATAAAATTCTTAGCGTTATTTTTTAATAAATAGTAAACAATACTTAAGGCTAGTAATCAGTTATTATTTAGAGCTTTAACATTATGTCATTTAAATTAATGTGTTAGAGTTGCTTATTATTTGCGAAAGTGTATTTTATGATGGAAAAAAAAACAGAATGATTATAATGGAATGATTTGTGTGTACGTATGTGTGTACGAATTGTTCAGATGTTTCGCTTACATTATCCGGCACTTGCTCATTAGCAGCCAATTTATTAACAATTGAATAACTGATATGATGTATAATGAGGAAATTTCGAACATTAAAGTTCCTGAGTAGTCATCATAGTCATATCTGGAGACACTGATAATGTCTCGGTGCTAAGGTACGCGTAGCGACACTGCCGTGGCTACTTTACACGAGCCAGTGAGTTGCTAGGAATTGATTGAATAGTGACGTTAGAAACGAGAAATGACACATTAATTTTTATTACGTGTCATTTGTAAATAAAAACAATTTGGATAAAACAAAATGATGAGATCGCTTTAAAACTTTTATGAAAATGGACGAAAACTACGTTTAAAATCCTGAAAGTCAGTAAATAATCGTAAAAAGTGATAAAAGGCATGTGTAAATAAAAATAGACTATTTCACGCGCATGCATAGTCTATTCACGATTTAATATTACTGTGGTGACTACTCAGGAGCCTTAATTGACTGATTGATTCGATGGCCGAAAATTCGAGCTCTAGTTATAAAGATAATTATATTAGATAAAGATAATTAATTATATAGATACCTTTTTTTGTACTGTACTATTTATAAGATATGTATTAAAAAATGTATAAAAAATGAATATAAAACTATTATTTTGCGATCATTAATGTGTTGCATTACATATGTACATCTTTTACAGAGTAAATTAGAGTTTTTCGTATAATCGATCGATGTTGGGATGATCGAGTGTGCATATTCCACAACTAAATTCTAGCACATGGTTGGAGAAAAAGATTAGAATTTGTTGCTGTGTCCAACGCATATATAGAAAAATATTAGGTAGCAAAATATCGATTGCTTTGTCGCCCATTTTAATCCTGCACACAATTGATATTATTATTTTTTGTTCTTAAATAGCAAGAGTGATATATATGTACATATATATAATAAATCAATAATATAATAGATCCGTTTCGAATATAAAATTATCTATTTTCAAAAAAATAGACCTTGCATATTGTGGATTTGCTTTGAGATTATTTAATATTAAATGTTATTTTCTCTACTTACTTCTTAGTTCCTAATTTATGAAACGCGTAGTCAGATTGCAATTGTATGGATGATGTGGCGTTATATAGGATTCCTCTATCCTTGTCGGCCATAATTCGTGTAGTTCCCGATTCATCAGTTAAATTGACGTTAATCCCATACACACCGTTGGCTGCCGTTAATACAAATCTAGGATTTTCATCATAACATTGTCCGAGTAATATCACTTCGCTATTTTTAGCGAAGCTATAAACCGTATTATACGCCGATTTTATAGAATCTAACGTTATAATACATGCGCCTAGATTATAATATTACATTAAATAACTTTTAGAATCGCAAAATATCGTGGCATTTTCATCAATACGTGGACAATTTAAAATAATCAGCATGATATTACGTACTAGAAAACATTCTGAATAAAGGTATTTCCATATACTTATGAATTCTCATTCGTGTCAAGAAGAGATCAATGAAGTGCGAATTGTATTCAATCGCAACTTTATCCCCGTTAAGTTGCAATTCACCAACATTTGAATCTTTCGGAAAAATCGCAGTTATCGCAAGCTGATCGGATTTTCTTGCAATACTACTATTACCACCGATAAGATCATATAAAGCATACAATTTCCAAACTAGTTTGGACAAACTCTCTGGTAACTGTCGTTATCATTATAAATTTGATTATTATATTACATATTTGCATATAAAGTTTTACAAGGTTTTTAAAACTTACGTTTTCATGTTGTGCTAAGATTTTGTATTTTCGGAAGGTTGACATTTCTTTCGATACTTCGTAACAAGAATTCGTGTAAGGAACAATTCTTTTCCCCTCAGACTCGTTTTTGCATTCGCCGTAAGGCCAGCTTGCCCTTTTACTTTCTTCGAGCTGCTTGCTACTAATTTCACCAATTAAATTAATCGATAGAGATGATCCGCTACATTTTCCTTTCACAGTATCGGACAATCCCCAAATGAAATTTAATTTAATGCGATAGGACTCACTCGGTTCGTTACTCAAAATTTCCCATTGCCATGGCATGTGTCTTTCAGCCTCTACGCAAAACTAAATCAATTTCGGTTACATTCAACGTTATTGCAAATTTCATTTAGAATTTTTCTGTTTACCTTAAGTACACGTTCATTAGGCACAATCTTAGTTGCTTTAAATTTAATCACATCTGATAACCAACTTGTGGCTTCGTACAATCCAGCTAGATTCCATTGATGAAGAACTTGTGAGGACTGCAGATCGTGGTGCGTCAAAGATAAAATATGACGATTTTCACTTTTTATGTATTCCAATTTCGTCTAATAACAATCATTCGATATAATGAATATAATAAATATTGTAATATACAATACAAGCATATGGAATGTATTTGACGGCAGTCTCTCTCTTTTTGCATCCGTGGACATAGGAACAAAGTTCCTTCTTTGATTTTTATGTGTGATTCTATACAAATATCTGTATCATACCTGTGACGGTCCGAATTTGAGTGCTTCAATATAAGCAGCTAATCCGCAACTACCTTTTGGCGGTACAAAAGTGAAGTAATCCAAGAAATGCAATCCGATTAAGGCGAATTTCATACTTGGCCATGTTCTATAATTTTCAGAAAAATCGAGAGAAAGATTTATGTGTTTCGATGGAATAATAAAAATGAGATATTAAAAGAGATAGTAAGATATGAAAATCATGGTGACAAATCTGAATAAAAATAATCTATAACAAAATTTACGTGTAAACGCAATCAAATGTACGCATCCCCAGATGAATTTTTAAAATTGAGTTTTTCTCAGAAGTAAAGTTTTATATTAAAAAATTCTATATTTTTATTCTATAATTTTATTTTTTTCATATAGAATCATTACTTTTCTGGTTATATTACGAAATACTGTATACAAATAAATATGGATGAATAAATAATACATTACTGATAATTGCTTCGATGAAAGGACCAAATGTCATTAATTAATGTTTCATACGATATCATGCTTTCGCAATCGAATATTTTTACTTGTAATCGACCACCTAATTCAGGAAGCCCAACATTAAGAATATTCACCGTCTATATAGAAGAAGAAAAAAGAGAGCAAAGTGATTTATACTCATTGATACAAATTAATATAAATTTAATAGCAAAAGAAATACCGAAATAATAATTACCTGTAGATCAGAGGACGGTGATTTTACAACTGTATGTGATACGGAGCACGAACGACAAATTCGATTCAACTTTGATCGAACATTAGCACCTCTAATATTCGTGAGCGTTCTAGCATGTACTGTAATTCCTGTTTTAAGATGTTCTGCAACACGAGAATGCAGAATATTAAGATTGACTGAGATATAAAATTTTAAATATTTTTTCTAAATACGAAGTTTTACTTATAAGGAAAAATATAATTTATGGAATCTATTTCTTGGATAATAAATACGTCAAGTTGATCGCATTAATTGTTTTAGCCAGTTAACTAATTAAGACTGATACCTTCTAGGGTATCGTACGAAATGAATGGTCGTTCGTCCAATCCAAGTGTAACGTTAATAGGAAGATATCCATGTAGCGACTGAACTCTTTCAGCGCTATGCCATAAATCAACTAGCGGATTGTAATTTTCTATTGTTTCAATACCGTGAACAGATGTGCTAAAAATATTTCATATACATAAAGAAATTTATAATATATGTATAAACTATAATATCAATTATTTCTATTAAACACATTTCGTTTAAACACTTTTTTGACATGGTCGATTTTGCTCTTTTTCAATGCTTTTTCCATTACAATTTTTTTTATTACTAAAAATACATATATCGGCTTGATATGTTCCTTAATGTCTAGCATTTTGATTGGAAAAAAATTTTTTTACAATATCTTCATTTTTATGAAAGTTAACAATTGAATTAGATTGGGTATGTCATACATCGATGTGTTATTTTCATCGTGAAGCGTTTAAAGACTAGATAAATTTTACGAAAACGAGCGCAAGTAAATACATGTAATTATGCGAGGTAAATTATACATATAAATACGTGAAATATAATCTTACCGCAAAATAATATGGTTGTTCCGTCCAGGAAAATCACGTGTAAAATTTCCTCTCATTGAAAACAGAGAAGTTCCCGTCATCGCGAGTCTAACATTGGTACCGAAATCGGTTACTTGCACGGATTCTATCGCCAATGGCACATTTATACGTTGTTGATTAACGTGAAACTCCATGTTATAATACGTTTGATATATGTTATCCGATAAAGAGGACAAGTCTAGAAAATTAAATAAACAAATGGTGTAATGTTGTGTATTGTTACAGAGTCGCGATTATAAATTACAAACTTACACTTCAACCCCTCAACTATATTTGTTTCATTCCAGTGAATGCACAATACTGTCTTTTCTTGAATACGTGTAATTATTTCTAAATGCATAGGGCCTTTCATACGTTCATCCAGTTTGAATTCTTTCAGAATATCTTTTATGTTTGTTGGGTTGTCAAAGGAAGTTGTTAATGAGTGGAAAATACCCTCCGCTTTGATATATAACTAATGTTAAAAAAAGAATTTAAATTAGATCAATTAACATTTAAAAGTAATGCAAATATTTTTGCTTTGGAAACTATATGCATATACTTACAGATACATGATTAAGGTGCGTACCACTAGCATAATTATTTAAAGTTACGTATATTACTTCAGGAATATTTGTAGAAGGATTGGCTATGATAATGCCATGCAGCATAGCGCCAAATCTTCTTAAAGAATCTTGATAATCAATCAAGTAATTACCAGTAATCATATATTCATTATTCGGTACCCGAAGTACTCGGCTGAATTGAGCCGCGATTTTGCTTCTGTAAATATCCGGTGGCAACAATTAAGAATTAAAAAAAAAATATATATATATATATATATATTAAATAAATAAACATTTATAAATTAATTAAATAAATTATGTTAAACTAATAAAAAATTTGGTAATAAATGAAAGAACAGTACCAATGCATTCAAGCAACATAAATTATATTAAATCAAGACAGTGCGTTAGAAATATACGTATTCGTTACGAATACGCAACGATATGAAAATTAATATTCGATTAATATTGCTACTGTTCTTTCGCTCTGATAAATTTATACACGTATTTACATGCGTCTGTAACAGGGATACGTGGTGCGTTCCATAGATTTTAGCATCGTATAAAAATAATTATACAAGTGTTGATTGGGCTCGTTTTGCATATACCAATACAGAGAAATCAATCTGTTTGGTGTAGGACTGGAAACAATAAGCAAAGTTAGTGCAGCGACCCTCATCTCCAAATGTTCGGTTCTATTGAGCAAGATCGGCCAATATACAGGATAAATCTAAAAGAAAATTATTATATATGTAATTCAATATGAAATGTGATGTCCAGCATGTTCAAATTGTATACTGTGTAAATCTATATGAAAAATCACTTACAACATCGGGTCTCAACGGTGCTGTGGGAATAGAAGCCCAAGCCGCAAGTACTCGAAAATGTCGCGATTCAGCATTATTGCCGGTAGCTATAGGCTCTAAAAACTCGACGACTTTACCCAGCTGTATATTCGCCAAACCTTCCAACCAAATCATCTTCTGCTCGTACAAAGTAGTTTCTATAACATGAATCAAACAATCTTATCCGAATAATATAAATTGCAACACAAAACAGATACAAATTGTTACATATACCAGTAAATTTATCGAGGTACAAGCGTACGTAATCATCTAACATCTCATACGGACAATGCATTAGACAAGTTTTGTATATTAATGTTCCATAAGTAAGAATTGCAGTATTTTGCACTTCCGCGCAGATTTTGTTCGGCAGCGCAAGAAGTGGTTGGAGACTGACCAGCAGTTGAACGTCGGGTTTTTTTATGTGAAACGGTAACCGCATAAGTAATTGAATCGCAGACATATCGGATACTTCGTTGCCTTGAACAAGATCTAATATAAAAAGTGCAGACTCTCTGCTTCCGACTTGCGGCAGCGCCTCGAGAAACATGTTTCTGTTATGATAAGAAGCACAGAAATATAATTTATCTTAAAAATAGGGATAGTAATGTAACAAGGGATAATTAAAATATAAATACCGTATCGTTTCTTCTTTATAACTAGTTCCTGAAATGCGAGTGTAGGCCTTTCCTAAGTCAACCCGATCTAACATACCAAGATAATAGAGAAGCACAGATATCGTTGTATTGTGCAAATTATGAATTTCGGTATCTAAACCAGGATTTTCGAGCCTGTGGCTTAAACGATCTAATAAATGACTTATCTACAACAATTTGATGAGGATTTAACTGGAATAACAAAACAGACAAAGAGAAGATGAAAATAAAACTCACAGATTTAAAAACGAAATTTTTATCCGGTGTACCTCTACCCTGTGTAAGATCTATTTCTGGTAGCTCGTGTTGAAGGACTGTAGTTCGTAAATTATTTGTAATTATCTTATTCGTTATATCCTTCACTGAAGCTAACTCAATAGTTTGTCTGTGTAGGATAAAGCAATTTTTACATCTAATTCATTTAGAATAGTAATAAAATAATACGAGTATATTTATGTTTGTAAAATATACCGAACGAAATGATAATGCGCCTCTCCCATGCTTTGAAAAGGTTGCACATAGATACCTCCAGATGCATTTACGGAGATAATATTGTGAACGAATCCATCGGTTTTTAATTGATACACTCTCTCGCTACTTTTCAAGATGGGATTCTAAGAAATATATAACATAATATATAAATATTCTCATAGATATCCATATTTCGATTAACTGTATTAAATAAATATGAAGATTACACAGTACAAAAAGGATTCGTTTTATATGTGACAAATGATTTTGATAGGTATTTTTTGTGTATTACGAATCCGTAATTGAAAATGGTCCAACAATATATAATGATGAATGCCTTAATTATTTGACAGCAATAAATTAATCAAATTATATAATATTAGAATATAAATTATAATCAAAAATATAATCAATTATAATCAATTATAATCATAATCATATCGAATTTTGGCGTTTTCTAAATATTTAATAAAGAGACAATATAGCAAATGACATGCTGTAGTTGGTGCGCGCTTCTCCAAAAAATCTGTACTATAAAAAAAAATTTGTCATGTTATATTTATTTATCTCTATTTTACAATTGTAACTTCAAATTCGAGCTTTCATTCGAATTAATATCCGAATTTCTATGATGAATTTATATGACGTCCTATTTTTTTAAACAGTTTCAAAAATAGTAAAAAACATTTTTTACTTTTTCCAATTCTTTTTTCCAAAGTCAAACATATTGAAATATTTTCAGTTATGAATTCGTAATCTACAAAAAAAGTTTAAAAATGTTGTAGTGTTATCAGTGGCGTCATACTTGATCATCATCAGTGCATTGTACTTTAGGAACATTCGACCAGTAACGACTAGGATGTCCAATACACATCCGCGGATCGAACGATTTTCTTATCAAACGACTATCGTCTTCCGGACTTACAATGTAATCAATATCACATTTTCCATAATGGTTTGTCTGTGAATTATAATGTTCTATATATTAAATATATATATATATATATATATCTATTCACTCGCGTATATCTATAAATATTTGCTATTTACTTCACTAGAATGAAATGCGATTTCTTTTTCCAAGTTAAAAAGATCAAGTTGTAAAATTCCAGCTATGCTTCGTTTTATATTCGTCGTCCATACAGGCTCAGTTTCAGTGCTGAAGTTCTCGATAAGACCTTTGTTGTACGATAAACGGAAAGGTTTCAAAAGTTCTACAGCATCATCGTAGATATCAATATCTTCTATCACTTTCTTTACATTTCCATTATGCATATTCGTCTTCAATGATTGCAACTAATATATAAAAAGTTGAGAGATATTACATCAGATTATAATTATATCTAATATTAAAAAAAAATCATGTACGTGTTTTTTATGATGGGTAAAAAGGAAATAAAACAAAGAAGAGAAAAAATTGCAGCTATTTTAAAAATACCTGTATTGTGACAAAGTCATCTTCCGCATGAATTACAAGTTTTCCATGGAGATTCCACGAAGAAGCTGCGTTGGAAGGCACTAATACACCAGTGCTCGATATAGTGTTGTAAGAATATATATATTCTTTCCCAGACCTGAATAAACTTTGCGCGACAATCTCGGTACTTAAAAATAAGAATATGAATAATGTTCTTCCTATCCCTTGTGCTAGCACAGATATCAAACTGGAATCTAAAAAAGAAAGACTTTCCTTATATTATCTGACTTATCATTTTCCAGTCTTCTTTAATTTCTTTATGTTTTTCACAATTATTGGAAACTTTTGCAAGAATATATTAGAAACAAGCGAGAAAGTAAACTTTTCTTATTATCAGTAATAATTATTAAAATTGTAAATATTTCACTTAAAACAATGTAATCGTCTTTATATTTTTTTAATATTTTAATATATGTATGTATATACCTATGAACTTCATGATGTGTGATCGTAGCTTGGCGAAAGCAAACTGAGTTCACGCAAGTCAAGGAATGACCCTTACCAGTTCTTATCACTGTGACTTACAAATACATACAGGGTTATTGGTGCGTATACATATACAAGAATTATGCTCTCGACGCATTATCTTCAATCATATAGATCGTACGTGTATTATATTATCGTTGACCCTTTTTCTCACAATACACAAGCATATAAAATATATATACATATCTCTTAATTTACGCATAATTTCCTATAGAAGTATGTGCAGAAAAAACTGTCAATATATTTCTATTCTGCATAATAAAAAATTAACAATTTAAGTATGAACGACTTCGAGTCACAAAAGTTTAAAAATAAAGTTTTAAACATAAAATTATTTTTATTGAAAAAAATATATAAAAGATGTTTAATGTTTATATATTTCTTTTTCATTTCTCTTTGACGATTATTTTGTTAATTATCGTGAACAAAAGGTGAAAGAATTTCTAATTATTTTACGCTTGATATATAAATGCTTTATTATTTGTATTAGTTTCAGAAACAACTCGAAAAGCATGTGTTTATTAATTCGAAATACATATATCACTTTTTTATTATAAATTTGTCAAATTACATATCTTAGAGAATGTCATATTTTATTGATATAGGAATTGGATATTTTTTCAATTATCGTAACTATTATTTTTAAAGGCAAGGCTCGAATATTTACGAGTGTACTATTTACAGATTTATTTTTGGCTTATCTATTATGTACAATCGGGAAGTATATCATGTCATGAGTTGTCTTATTTAGTTTATTACTATACAAAATTGTATCTTCATATATTATACATTTGACAATTTACTGTAATGCATCATGTACAGAATCCTATTATACGTTATATGTATAAAATCTATCAACAAGCATATAGATACTAAAAGCAAAAAATTGGACAAAATATTACTGACACATACATATAATAATCAACATATTATAAGGGTTTAATTATTTTCAAAATGGACTTGGCGTATTCCCAGGCTTCACTATAACACACAAATTTCATTTTAAAAAGAGTTTATATGTCTTGCTCAATTTACAAAATAATAAAACATTTTGTTGATTGCGACAAACATTATTTATACTTACTTATGTGCAGGGTTTGCCTGATCCAATTGTTCGCTAAGTTGTTGAATAAGTGTGGCAAACATTTTGAGGTGTTCAATAGTTTCTCCTTGCAGCCATGCTCTTGGTAGCGTACTCATAATCTAACAAACATTGATAAACATTTTATTTGTTGTAACTGAATAAAATTAAAGCACTAAAAATATCCTTTATGATGTAGTATTTATTACTGCGCTTGTCTTAGCGCCAAGACACTACCATGTTTCCTGATTATATTTTAATGTTAAATATGATATACCATGTTTGCCTTGAATAAAGCGTCAGTTGGACAAGAAACGCGTAATCCAGCGAGCAGATAACGATTCAAAAGCGAACCAAGTGCCAAATTTTTTAACTGTATATCCCCAAGAATACCTTGCCAACTTAATAAATTGCGCAATAATTTAACAGCCATCGCAAATTGTCTTTGGAAGAATTGATGTTTTGTATCCCAAACTCTGAAATGTTAATTTATGTTAGAAGCAATGAATAACGTAATTATACGAGATATCAATTTAATTATATACTGAATATACTGACTGTTTTGGGAAAATAGGTATGAAAACATCATTTTCAATCGCAGCTTTAATTTTATCTAAAATAGCGTTGAATAAAGTTTCTAACTGTTTACTGCTATCATTTAAATTAGGATATTCCTTTATCAATCGATTTATAGTTCCAACGAGACGTAACGTCTGAGACGTTGACATTGGATCCCATATCTTTTCAATAATAGCTAAAAATTATTAACATAAAATAGAATTATTTCATTTCTACTTGTAGTTTTACAAATAGCATTATAAAGATAATCCTTATATCACTCTTACATGTCAATTTTGGTATCACAATTTTTTCAATTGTGGATGGTATTAATCTAACATCTGGATCTCGTTTCAATGATTCTTCTGTCTCTTTACTATCTAAAGCGTACAGAAGTAATGTATTATACCACTTTGTTCTTTCTAGATCAGCGCTTTCCTGTAAAAATAATCAGATATTAATTACAAGTATGATTAAGATTCCTTTTATTGATGGAAAAAGTGAACAAAATACCATAATCGGATTCCAAGTAAGTAGTTGTAATCTGATAATAGGCGAAATAATTTTAGGTAAACACAACGATACATAAGCTTCTGTGTAGGCATCCATGTCTGTTTCTCTCCATGACTCGAATTTTGAAAGGATACCACGTACTGTACAATATTCTTCCATAACATCAGAAAATATATCTTTACAATTATTATCGATTTCATCTGTAATAAAATAAAAATGTTATCATAAAAATTATATATTAAAAATGTAAATATGAACTTTTATGAAATCGAAATATAAAGTTGATTATTACCTTTCGCTTGCTTAAATACAAGATTTTGTTGCTCAGTAACTTCGTCGTCACTAGACATGCCATCAATGTGCTTTGGAATATTTGATGCTAATTCTCTTGCTCTTCTACGACGGGCTCTTCTACCTTCTCTCTCTGTAGCTCGTCGTACGTGTATTTCTACTTCTGGTCCTCTTCTCATGGCTTGACCTCCTGCAAAACAAAAAAAAATTATAGAATTTGTGTTGCGAAATCTTTCAGTAAAATCTCTGGAATATATATATAAGATCATCAAGCGTCCTCAATATACTAAGTTCTATCAATTATATTCTCTACACTAAAATGGAAATGTACTGACTTGCTGTAGTAGTTATTTCTTCCGCCTGATCTCTCGTGTCTTGTCGTCTTCGTTCCATCAATTCGACTGAACGTTCACCATATAGATCTAACCAGCGTTGCTCCAAGTCGATGACCAGGGGAAGCTAACAAAAGAATTATACATTTAATGTGATTCAATGAATCATATTCTATTGTAATAAAACTGATGATGTCTAAACTGAATGGCTTTATGATAATAATAATGCTTAAAAATCATTAATTTGTTTGATAATCGATAGTTTCATGAATTACATAAAAAATTCTTCAACGTGACAAATGTTCACACATTAAAAATAAAGACTAGATTAGACATCAATTTACTTACCACAGTCAAATTAATTTATTAATCACTTGTATGATATTTATCTTTATAAAATGTATATCAAAATAGCATATAATACAGAGAAGATAATGACCCCCGGCAATGGAAACATGTATATGTGCGATATATATGCATTCTTTTTATTTTACGAATAGTCGAATCAGTAAGTTATTACTTTAAAAGATTTTATCTCCCTTTTATTTTATTTATCAAAAGCTCTGGATAAAAGAGAAACAAATATTGTTTCAGTTTTTTAAGTAATGTATCTTGAATCTTTTGCAATTTAAAGTTTCTGGACTTTCGTTACTATTTGACATCATACCAAATATAATTTTAAATCATATAATTTCTTTTCTTTCACTGTATGTATTTTACATTCATAAGATGAAATATTATAATAAAAGTATGATAATTTGATCATTATATTAAATGATTCAATTGTTTTCAATATATATAATTTATAATCAGAAACATAAACCTCAGATATCAAAATTTATTAAAACAAGATTTATTAAAATCGTTGGTACTTTACTGGGACTGAAGAATTTTTATTCAGCCACATACTGTACGATAAAACCCAGTGCACATAAATCAAACGTGACAGCGTATCAACCCACCTTCTCATCAAGACACTCTACCAAGTCAGTGACATACCCACGCAACTCTTGGTAATATCTGAAGCGTTGTGCATAATGCGGCGTACGAACTTCACTTTCGTCCAATTCTTTTATGGTTTGTTGTAATTCTCCTTCTAAACGCTCCTGATCTTGCTGATGCCGTCTATGCACCTCTTTCAAATTGTCCAACCTTTAAATTATAATTATTATATTTAATTAATTAGCATTAATTAGCTTAATTTTTTTATTGTATAAAAAGCCCGAAACATGTTTGGAGAAATATGGAACCTTGTGCGCATCCTGTTTACAACTTCTTGCGGAGTAACAGGTACGATTTTTGTTGGATCTGGTGGTTGAATAGATGGTGGCGGTGGTGGTGCAGGCATTAATACCATTTCTAAAGGTACACCAGACCCAATTATTTGATTAACATTCATGCCCATTGTATATTGTTGTTGCAACATAGAATCTTGCTGTGCTGCTGCAATCTGCATGTAAAAATATTTCAGGTATTTAACACATTGCTTTATGTATATATTTTTTAATCCTAAATCTCATGGTATATTAATAAACTTTACCTGAGCACCGGTTACACCTTTTCGTATTTGTTGAGCTTCCCATTCTTCTTCTTCGTTTTCGTGCTCACTTTCATTATCTGAAACTAAATTAAAAAATGTATTCAAAATTGTGTTACTTTTTATTATTAAATATCTTAAAATTTTTTAACTAGATATACGCTATACTTAAAGTTAATTATTATATATAAAAACTCACATTTTAATGGAACTTGAGAAGCAAGAAATGCTTCTCTCCTTTTTTCTTTATCACGTGCTTCAGTGTTGACAGTCATGTCTAGTCGATCTTGAGAATCATCATCGTCACTTCGATCATGGTCTTCCTCTCGTATTAGTCTTGACTTGCCCTTGTCATCGCTATAAAAATAAATTTATTGTAATATCATTACAATACCTGGTTGATATCAAGAGATTATAAAACAATTAAAAAATATATTAATTTTTAAATATTAGTTTTATAATATATATTTATAATATATATTTTGTAATGCTGCTTAGATATAATAACAAAACCTAATACTTCATTTTTCATTTGTTTTGTCAAAGATATGAATTATTAAATATATACATAGCAATTTTATTAATTATATGAATTCTAGTAATGATTTAACAACATCATAACTTATATGCATCATCTGAATTACGTACTCTCAAGAAGTATTTTTACAGTTTCAGCTTTATCTGTATTTTTCCTAAATTTGTGACTGCAAGGTTCATCTTCCTCCTCACCCGATGTATAGTCATCTTTTCCTGCTGCCAATGCAGCTCGTCCGTTTAAAATCAGAGGTCCTGTGTTTTTTATTTTAACCTAGCAATAAAGATTATATTTTGTTTAGTAAAGATACACAGTTTTAAACAAAAAAATTCAAAATTTTTACGAATAGAATATTCATAAATTTTGAAATACAATATTTCGAAATTAAAATATCCGAACATATTTCTATTAACCCAATAAAATAACAAAGATACAAATATATTCATTAAGAATCATCATTAAGAATCATTAAGTTGTAAAGCTTTCAAATTGATTTGAGTATGTATACACTAAAGAGAAATAATAAACTATTAAAATTTTAAATAAGTTAAGTTAGAACACAATCTTTGTATATTTATAATTTAAGCATTATTCATTTTTTGGCACACATAACTGATAAAATAAAAATCATTAGACAAAGTAATATTCCAATCAAATATATAAATTTATGTGACTAAATTTAACAATTAAAAGAACATTTTTATTAAAATAATTAACTCTAACTTTTATTAAAAAATTACTTGATACATATAAAGTATACACGTAAATTATTATCATATAAGAAACGACATTTAAATAATGTCTCCTTGGGCTGTACTCCCACAGTTGTTCCAAATCTTGAAACATTAGTCAACATATTAGGGAGAGACATAAAAAATCTTCTATGTTAACTGATAAATTACTTAAATGGAAGAAATGCTAATAATAATAAAACATCATAGAGATAGCTTACTACTAGATCATCTGTCTTTATTTCTAAATCTTTTTCCTGCTTAATGGATTTATTCGCTTGCTCAGTGTCCACTTGCATTTTCTCTTCACCTTTCTTTTTTCTCCTTTCGTGATCTAGCTGTTTCATCAGCTTTTTGCTCCTCGACGATTTCTTGACTATAAAAACTTCTCCGTCGTCCCCTGTAATTTATTTCAAAGTTTAATTTAAATCTAAATATGCAGTATATTTTTCAATACTTGGTAATAGATTTGGAAGAAACAGCATCTGTTAGTGTAAATATTTGTCTAAAATAAAATTATATTGATATTAAAGAGATTGTCCTACTATTGATTATCCCTGTAAGGCTCATTCTATGAGCAAGTAGCACCACATTATCATTCAAATTGTGGATGCTTTCCAGCAACGAACAGATGAACATAGTGTAACACAATAAATCATTACATCTTTAGGTCTGTTTTTTTTCCATATCCTAGAACTAAATTTTCTGCATTATCTTTTGCCTTTTTCTCTCTAATGTGAAAAGAAAAAGAAGATGAACCATGTAAGAAGTTCAGTCCTAAAGTTAAAAGAATAACAGGCCTTTTGTTATTTGCCAATGTTAAGCAAAGGTAAAATGATTCACTGTAGGTTCGTTCATTGTAGATTTGTTCACATTACATACTCCTATTGATTCCAATGAGTATATTGAAGTAAGTAGGAGCTATGATAGGACATACTGGAGCAAACTGGGATCTGCGACGCAAACAAACCTTGTATTACACTAAGTCTATTTTCTATAGCTGAACTAGTATACACTTTTGGAACTTAAAGTAAAATAGGTATGTTTGATATTTGGCAAAAGCGAGAAAGAGAATAAATGCAATCTAATGCAGGAATAAATAAACAGACCTAATGTTGCTAGAAAGCACCTGATATTTGAAATCAGGCAAATATAAAACAGGTTACTCATATACACACTAATTACACACACATATTACATATGCAAAGATGTGTGTATAAACACCTTGTTCCAGCTCCTCTCCAAAGCTGAGGCGCGTCTGCTTTGGTTTATCCTTCTTCGTTTTAACTTTGACCGGCTGCGCGTCCTCCACCTCCATTCTGTTCTCATTATCCTCATCTTCATCGTCGAAAGGACGTCGGCGTATGTTCCGCTTCGGCTTGTTGAATAATGACATTATCGTTGCAACGTTGCTCCTCGACAACAGGGTACGGAACAACCGCTGCTCGAACTTGGTTGTTAAAGACGCGAGCTGAAAAGCGACACGTGTCGCATTACGGGAAATTGAATCGTTGAACCGTAATTAACTGGAACGTACGCGCGATATCACTTCGCAAATATCAACGGATCCGCGACGTGCAATATTGAAAATCTTTACAAACACTCGAATACATAAGTGGGCAGATGCAGCCATCCGATGAGGATGAGGCTAAACGGCACAAAAGTAAATTATAATGATCGCGAGAGGACACTACCATCGCTTTGCAATGGCGACGCTTTTTTTTCCGATGAGTTTCGGCAGAGAGTGATTCGTTCGTTCGGACAGTTTCGCGACCATTTTTACGAACTCCGATTGACTTAATCGACCGATTGTTACATTGGAACTGACCAATCGCATTTACTGTTCAGCAGAATTGACCAATCACGGTTGACACTTAATTTACCGATTAAGTTAATTGGAGTTGATTGAGAATTATATTCCGGTTTTCGGAATATTTGGGCTATATTTTTATTATTAAAAAATAAAATATTTATATTTCTCAGTACTTTAAATAATAAAAATATATATAACGATAATTTTGTATAATAATTTAGAATAGAACGGAAAAAGGAAACTTTAATTAGTAAAGTCTGATTTTGTCCAGCCATTCTATTCCCAGTCTGGACAGTTGGGATGTAATATTCCACGTAATTCATGTTACAAGTGCTTTGAAGCAAATTCTTTCAATCAATTTGTAAAATTCTTTCTATTAACTAGTTAACGAAGCATTTGCAACGTTAATAGATCACATCCTTTAAAAAAAAAAGTGAAGTATTGTGCACCTACCTGCACCTACCAAACCATGTGGAGCATGTTGGCTGTGTAGATATATATGTACCTGCATATATGGAGGTTAAAATGTTTAAACTAGAAATTTTATTTATATAATTTTTAAGTAAATATATTTATGTAATTTTAAACATTTTATGTGTATACGAGTGTCAAAATACAATTGAAATTGTTTGAAAAAAAAAACAAAACTTTAATCTCATGAATACAAATGTAACTTGCGGTGAATTGTTGTACTTCCCATCACTTGTAAAACGCTACGAATTAATTCCAACACCTAATATATATATATAATTACACATAATCCCAAATTATATAGAAAGTCGGTGGAAATATGACTGTAAAGATGAAAGGCGATGGAAATATGGTCGTGAAGAGGAAAGGTGGTGGAAGTATAATTGATCAACGCCCACTGTTTTCTAGCGATGGAGAGTAAGTTTAATTTTAGTTTCTATTTCAAGTTTTATTTCATTTTCTTGAGGTTTTAGTCAGACATTATATGTAGCTATCAATGTGCAATGGATATTTTGCTTTTCAGAACTCTGTACATAGTGTGGAAGAATGTCATAAGGGTATACAGTACGCAAACGGGAGACTTTGTACGAGAGTTTGAACCCTTGGATTACAGAATTGCCGGAGTAATACCGCATCCAGATAACGTCAGCGTTATTATTGGTTGTACTGAAAACGGCGAATTGTATTTCTGGAATTGCCAAAGTGGAATAATTACTAAGAAATTAGTAAGAGCTTAGATAACGTTATTTTGTTTGCTAATGTTTCTTTTATTTATAATCTTTAATATATATTCAAATTATATAATATATGTGTACTTGTTATTAATTTTTAATATACTCATATATTTGGATTTTTAACTTTTAACTCTTTGATTTCTTAATTAATTTCTTTGTTGTTATTATAACTTTGTAGATATTAAATGATACTGTGTTTATATTTTTACAGCAATTAAAATTTCTAGCAAATGACAAAGCAAAAATTAAAACCTTTCACATTGTAAAACACAGAACAGCTCAGGGAAACGAAATATGTCAAACGTTAATAACTCATCTCTCTGATTGTGGAAATAAAATATATGTACTTTTATTTGATATAGAAACTGGAACATTTATAAAATCAATATATATCTGGTAAATATTTTTTATTTTTTTTCTATTAAGTTTTGTTTGATAGTTGCATAATTTTTGATAATTTATCATCTATTTTTTTTAGGACCAAGTCACAAGAGTATTATACTGATATAATTGGGAATTATGGAGAGAATTTAATAGCACTTGTACATGATACAGATTTACATATATTAAATCCAGCTAGAAATTTAGTTGATACAATGTAAAATATTTTGGGATTATGTGTAATTATTTATATTTGTGTGATAGAATATTATATATTTTAAATACTTAATTTTGATGTAGGCACAAGACTGGTAAAACTGGTAGAGTACCTACTTGCATAGCGGGACATCCAGAAGAAGAATGTGTTGCTACCGGAGATTCTACAGGTCGTGTATTAGTATGGAGAAATTTATTCCAGACTAGACCATATACAGCTATTTTTCACTGGCATACATTACCGGTTACAGAAATAGTGTTTAGCAAGTCAGGTAATAGGTGTTGAAAATTTATATTCGCAAAATATTTTTCATAAAGCAGTAATTTAATGGTACGATATAACACATTTTTTTGTTTTACAGGTGGCCATATGTATACAGGTGGTGGTGAATGTGTATTAGTAAAATGGACTTTAGCAAATCCCCAACATAATTCATTCCTTCCACGATTACCGGCGCCTATTAAACATCTTACTATTGCACCAGATAATTTATATGTTGCTGTATCGACTTTAGATAATGGTAAAATTTTTTATCATGAAAATTCGAATTAATATAACGAGTTTATGACGACTAATTATGTTTTCACTATAAGGTATTGTTATTGTAAATCCTCAAAGAAAATTAACATCAGTGATACAAAACTTTACGTGGGGTGTTGCTTCGTCCAAAGATCTATTTCCTGCGGGGCTTATCGTTGACCCAAGAACAGGTAGTCTTGTTCTAAATAGTCGTACTGGACATGTACAATTTTATAACATTCATACAAAGAATCTGTTGTACAATGTAAGTAGATTATTACATATTAAAAGCAAAGCAATGTAAAAAGAAAATTTAAATAAATAAGTTTAAATAAAAAACTGATAAATCTTTCACAAATTTTTCAGATTAATATAACTGCTCAAAATTTTTTGACTCAAGAACGTGATGTAATTATTGTAAATACAGAAGTTACAAAAATAGCTCTAAATCATGATGGTACATGGATGGCAACAGTTGAAGAACGAAATGATAAAATTTCATCTATAGAAGTTAGATTAAAATTCTGGTTCTACGATTTGAAAAAGCAAATGTAAATATATATAAACTTTATATTTGTTAGAACACTGCAATACCAATATATATATATAACTTATCAACATTCTAGATTTATATTAAATACATCCATTGAATTACCTCATGAAAATGGAATAAATGCATTACATTTTCAACCAGATACGACATTTGACGATGGAGATTGGTTAGCTATTACCACTGGGAGAGATAATAAATTTAAATTATGGAATTTGAGAAAATCGTCCATTGTAGAAAGTACATATATCTAATTATTTATTTTGTATAATAAAATAGCTTCATTAAAATTTAGCGAAATGTATGTATATCATTATTTGTTATAATTATATTTATTATAGATAAAGAGACAAAACACTGGTATTGTTACGGAGTTGGAGACTATCGCAATTTAGCTGCTACAGATGCGGGTTTTTCAGTTGATGGTTCATTATTAGCTGTTGGTTTTAATTCTACCTTAACTTTATGGCTGCCCGAAGCTTGCGAATTAAAATCAAGTCTTACACATTCTCAGTATAATGAACCAATATCGTAAGTTATAAGAAAAATAAAATATATAACTATTTTAATAAGTACATTCTTAGCTAAACATGGAAAACGATCATTTATAAAGGCATAATTGTAAAATGTTTACAATAGACGAATAGAATTCGGCAAACACGAGGCCTGTCATCTTGTTGTGGTTGTGTCTCAGCAGCACATAACAGTTTGGAATATTTTAACTCTTGCTATAACATGGAGTGTACCCTTGAACGTCGTGAGTCTTACATGCGACTTAAAATCTACATACATGGCAGCATTTACATCTGACAATTCATGTATGCTATACAATATATAAATGCCTTTTTATTATATATATTTAATATAGTTATATATATATATATATATATATATATATATGTTATTTTTTTGTCATACAACAGTCTTATAATCACATCTCATTATGTATATTTTCTTATATTTTTTATCTTATTTTATTATGTTTTAATAGAAAGAAAATAATTCATTTGTTTTTAGTATATGTGTTTACACCACAAAGTGCAACACTCATTTATAAGAAAACGTGCCTTATTGAAAGTACCAGTTCTATATTAGCGGCTAATTTTGTACCTCATCTACAGGAAAAACGTAATCCTTCTTTTGGCCAATGGCAACGAAAATCACAATTATTCTTTTTGGATTCAAATCAGGTACATTTTTAGATTAAATAAATTTATATCTAATTGTATAATGTTTGAATTAATTTAATATGTAAATATATTTATATTTTATTATCTATTATTGTACTCTCTGTTTAGGAATTGCTCACATTGGAGCCAGAATCTGAAGCGAATGTTTCTTTAGAGATTATTTCAGACAAAGGAACTATGCCATTGACCGCCTTCTCCAACTTTATCGCGACTCAAACGTCTTCGAGCAAAGAGCCAACTGTCGCGCAAGTTCATGAACATCTTGGCATACCAGCAAAAGGAATGATACAAGAAGTAAGTAAAATTTTGCGTTTCGAAAATTTTTATGCAAAGATTCCTTCAAGTCGCATTCTTTATATATAAATTTTCTAAAACTTAGAAATTAGAAAACATTTTTATGAAATAAATATATTATAATTAAAATCAATTTGAAATAGTATATTGTAATTTATATTTTATGATGTTATGGCATGATAAAATTGAAATATTTGCGACTTTTAGGATTTTTGATAAATTTCTTCTGTCAGCAAATATTTTTACAATTAGTATGCCAATAAAAAAATTTATTTGGAAAATATAAAAAAATTTTATTATATTTGAGATCAAATTTATTAAGTAAACAAACTGAGACAATTTACAAAATAAATAAGAGTTTACTAAGCTAAAGTAGTAAATATAAACAAGGAAAATAAGACATAACAAATGAATTATTTATACATATTCTATAAAAGATAATATAAAAATTCATTTTAATATTTTTTTTGCATATCTCATGTAAAATTTAAAATCAATAGGCATGAAAACAGAAGTCTTTTGAAAATTTCATACATATATATATATGGGTGTTTGGAAAATATTATAATAATAAATCTTTTATAGGGGTAGAATGGACTAAACTGAGAAGAAAAGTCCTCTACCATTTGCAATTTTTGCAATCTCTTTAGTCCTGCTGCTCGTGTCTGAGCGTGATGACTTCTCTCATATGCCTGTGGTACGCATGCTGGTCATGCACACCGGTCGTAGTTCATACGGGATTTACAGTAATATCGATTTCGAACGACAAAGTTTTTGTTTAGAGAAATGTTCTTGGCAAGGATAATCTCGGTGGGTTGCCGCTTCCTTCCGAGAGTGTATGAAAATATTTTGGTTTTACCGAGAATCGAACCTGGGATCTCTAGCACAGCTAGCAGATCAGTGCGCTGTTTACTCTGCTACACTCGCTCTCAATTTTCGCAATAATTAACAAGATATTAATTGCTAAAAGTTGCCGAAAATTGGTCTTCAATAATTTTTTTTATCATCTTTACAGAAAAACTGCAAGAGACGAAAATTGTTTATTTTCTTTTCATAGAACTTTACAAATTTTTTCAGAATTTTTTATCAATCTTTTAGTACTGCATTTTTAACAACATGAGAAAATACAGTATTAAAAAATTTTGAAAAAATTCTAAAAAAATTCTTAGAGTTAAAATTCTATGAAAAGAAAATAAACAATTTTTATTTCTTGCAATTTATCTGTAAAGTTGATAGTATTGTATTTGAGTAAAAAATGACTGAAGATTTTTGGCAATTTTTAGCAATTAATATTTTGTTAACTCAACAATATTTTGCGAAAATTGCAAAATGGTAGAGGACCTTTCTTTTCAGTTTAGTCCATTCTACTCCTATGCAAAAAATTTATCATTATTTTCCAAACACCTTGTATCTGCAGATAAAGAATTTATCAATGAAAATAAAATTATAAAATATGATATTTCTCTTATCATGATTATCAGTCGCACTTAATGCAGATTTCTTCGATATAAAAACATTCTAAATTCTTTTTCCAGCATAAATGCTTTTATGGATTCTATATAATTTAATTTAATATGTTTAAATTTTATTTAAATAAACTTAAATTTATTTAATTTAATGAATTGAAACGGAATGTTCTGCACGATTGGACGACGAAATTTGCCATAATGTATTGCCAATCGTGGATCATATTGAATGTCCATTTGTCAGTGTCTTCTTCCTGAGCGATAATTCCGACAGCGACGGACAAAATCAAACTTTCTATAGCGGAGACAATGCCATTGTGGAATCTGCCTCATGTTCTCGATCGCCTGCAAATTATATAGCTTAAACAGAATTATTAGGATTACTGTGAACAAAAGACTGAAAAATTACCAGTGCGTTAGAAATTAATAAAAGTGCGAATAGAAGGAAAAAAATTATCTAACATAATGACCGACCACATTAATCGAAATCAGGTCGAAGTTGACTGACAATGAGAAGGTTTAAGTTAATGACATCTTGGCGAAAAGTCTTCCTGTTTACAAGATCATGTACCACCTACGACTCAATATGGTTGGACACATCATTGCATTCTCAGACAAATAAAGATTAGTTTAACGAGGACCGTTCAATGACCAACGTCCACTTGTACTTTCGACATCCCACGTGCTTACAATGGAGAAAAATATGAGATGCATTTCTTATAATTGACGCTCAGCGAGAAAAGGGAACGTTCTGCTTGTGCGTCATTTATGTCTTGTACATCAGCAAAATTCCATGATTTAAAATTGGTAAATCGTATAATTTTCAACTGTATCATTCTTAATATTAGTATCGACTCTGACGAGATATCGCATACAAAGATACTTACTGCTTCGCTGTTGCTGGCGGGATATCCGAAGGCGATCACTGCGAGTAGTAGTGTTGTAAACAGGCACGACATCAATTTTAACGCAGTTAGCTTCATTCTTGAAACCGGCTTTTGTTTCGGTGAAATAGGAATGCTTAAGAAGATCTCGACTCTGGATTTTTTTGGGATTCTTTTCTCAATTCTCTCCAGTCTATTCCGTTTTCTCGATTAATGATTACAATCGGATCCCTCTTCAAGTTCTTCCCGAACAATTTCTTCCTTCAGCGAAAAATTCAAATTAATCGAAATTTATCTGCATCAAAATGTTCCACAGAGCTACGTCAAGTGGTTTTACCCATTACAATTTTTTATCAATGCGTGAAGTCGATGAACCAACACAATCCAACGCGAAGAAGATAGTAGCCGAAAAAATATTTAATAGTCCTTATAACAATCAGAGGACACAGGATGGACCCTTCATGTGTTCCAACGCTCCGCGAACGACTGGCTTTCAGCAGAAGTCTCGCCATGATTTAATATAGAGACTCCCACCCTCTCACGGCGTTCTAGTTGTCCCTTTAGGACGACTGAACAACAGGAAAACTTCGCTTGGAAATCCTGTGCTTCACGTCACAATCGTTGTATTGCGAGCTCTATTGCTTCGGCACCTATTCATATTCTTACGTGTATATATATATTTTAGTTTATTTTGACGGCGTTATCACAAAGTCGTCTTTTCTTCGTGTGGGCGGAAAGTTGGCCTGGCAAATTGAACAGTGTGAGGTAGCGTTGTATTGGAAAAAGCAGATAAGGGCAAATGTAACATGCATCGCATTCGTATCGAATAATTAATCTGACGTGTCGAAAATAAATTCGAGAAATATCTCATCGAGAAATTTATTGAAAGTAGTTATGCGCGAGACGTAACGTATTCTACTGCTATAAAAAATGTACGCGTTAAAAGTAGCTTCGTCTGTCGCTGTTCATTCTTATTAAAAACATCCAGGATTTTAATTATCATTTTGAGATTTGAAGTGCATGTCCTTGAAAATTGACCTGCGTGATCAAACTTGTTACGATGTGCGTTGTAACAAGATGTTTTATCTTAATTAAAACATTTTACTCGGAACATTGGAGAAATATTTTGTGACAAAATTAGTCAAAATGAGAAAAAGTTTATAATATTTCATAGCATTTGAATTAAATAATCTATTGTTTGATGATTTTTTATGTTCAAAGGTAGACATCTGAACATCTTCTTGATCATTTAGTCAAGTCAGTTTCAAATTTTATCTAGTTTATAAATCTAGTGATATGGCACGATCTCAATACAAATTATATCACATCAAAAATGTATTATTGAAAAGAATGAAACATATATTGTAACATGATATTGGAACAGTCGAAATGACTTCATCCGAACAAAATCCGAGCAAAATAAACGTCACAAAAAATTATTCGCTTTACGATTATCCGAATATGTAAAAATATGGTGAAGTATTTCGCTTAATTTTTAAAGTATTTCACCACATCGATTACAATAGGACACCTTGGCGCGATGCGAAAATAGCAAACGCTATTGCAGAATTGTCTGAGATTGCTTGCAAATGTAAAACCAGGCCAGCAGGAAAACAGTCTTATCTTCTTCGCTGACCGTCTCGATTGTTGCGATTGATACCTACTAATAAAATGCCACACCGGTACAGAGGGCAAAGTTTAAATCAATCTGTCTCATTGACACACCACTACCAACGTTTTGTAATGATATTTTACAATTACATTATATTTTTAATTTTTTTAAATTTATTAGCATTTTATATTTAATTTACGAATTTCTTATTTTATTTCTTTAGTTTATTTATATTCTTAATATCTATTGATGACTTCAATATTTATTTACTTTTAACAAGGGAACGTCTTAAATTACAAAAGTAATACGAAAAAATTAACGTTATCAGTTGAAAGTTCACGTTTGCAATAGATGTATTCTAGATGATCAAATCTTAAAATCCTATGGATTTTATACTTGGACCGAAACATTTGGTTTTAATTTAGATACAAAATATTTCGAAAATGCATTAAAAAAAAAAATATTTCAAATAAAAGTTATTTGAAAAGGACTATTAAATAAACTACTTAGATTTTGGATTCAAGACTTACTTTGGGCATAATAAAGTCTAAGGTGATTTTGTTTCGATAGAAACATCTATTATAGATTCGTATTTAGAAAAAAATAAGGAATTTTTGTTTCTTGTAACTTTTCACTACATCTCCTTTAATAGGCACAAAGTAGTGCTCAAAGTTCTTATCTTGAAATACATATTGCTCAACGAAGGCAAGAACAGCAGACAATTTTTTTTATATATTGAAATAAATTGCCTTTATTGGCCTAATTGTCGCTAATCCTGTCTTTGTTGGCCGGTATGTATTTCAAAATAAGAACTTTGAGTGTTATTTTACGACTATTAAAGGAAATTTAGTGAAAAATTATCAAGAACAAATTTCTTTATTTTTGTTCCATAGAATACGAATCTGCAATAAAATATAAGCGTTCCTAGAAAAAAAAAATTTGGGCCTTATTGGATTCAAAGTGAGCCTTAAATCCAAAATGTAAGTAACTCATCTGATGGCTCTCTTTAAATTCTACGACCTTATATATGAAATATTTGTTTCAAAAATACATTGTTCTCGAGATATTTTGTTTATTATAAAAAAATTACAATATTACAAATACAAATTAAATACAATATAACAAATTTATAGTTTAAATATATTAATAATTGGCGCTCTAATTACTGTGCCGTTACTTTCATTTGCCACATTGTTATTTTATTATCGAGAGATTGTTCTATATATTTATTTTAGATATTTTAGATATTTATCTAAATTAAAATGGCCAAATATGTTTCAGTCTAAGTCGAGTACAAAATTTATAGAATCCTAAGATTTGATCATCTAGAATACCTACTTTAAGTGTAATTTTTCAATTAATAATGTTAGTCTTTTAATATCATTTTTGCAATTTGGACCGTAAGACATCCACTAATTATAGTCTAAAACATTCGCACTAAATGGAAAGGTTAGACATGTTTTTCTACGCTAAAAATAGCGGTTTTGCGCTTAAAAATAAGACCAGAATATCTTCTTTTTTTACGTTTCACATATTGTTATGCGCAAGTACTTTATGAGTAACCGCGTCACATGTCATAAACATGACTTTACGCGTATGTAATTGCCTTGATAATAAGCTATATTCTGACCATCTCGGTCATTTTTCGTATGAACAGCTTTGCGAATATTGTCGTCATGATTTTTTAAAATTAATCGTCATTTAGTCATGATTCTTTGAAATTGACCGACAATCGCGTCATCCTGAAATGAGAATTGCCAAATACAAATATAAGCTAAATACATCGTATTATCAGTAATTATTGCTACTTGTGAGGGATGAAATGAAAGATTTTTCCTTGAAATATTTTTAAAGGAGTACTAAATCTGCATAATTTTGCGAATTAATGTATTATTTAAAGTAGTCATTTATTTAAAAAGAAAACCATTGTACTTAATAATATAACAATATAAATTTGTTATTCAAGCAGCAGATATTTATTAACAAAATTAAGTGTATTTTAACTTTTCGACTATATTACATATATATGCGCATTTGTCACTAAAGTGTACACGTTACGGAGAATATTTGTGTGGGTTGCAACAGACGAATCAACCTAGATCTGAAGTAGAAGATTGCAGGAATTGCACAAATTTCACTTGGAGGTGTGCTGTGTGTCAGCTTTAAAACTAATTAACCAGTCATCTGACAGACCGATTGTCACAAGTGCCGCATACGTGGCAAATATACTTTTGAACCTATCTCGTGACTGAAGCATTCCATTAATATTTATGTTTTTTTTTCTTTTTTCTTTTTTTTTTTTTGATCGATGGTTCCACAGTATATTCGCTTACAATCGCTTAACATTTATCATCGTTCTTGTTTTTCAGTTACTTAGCGTTCCAGCTCATACTTTGCCACCGATGAGACTGCTGTGCACGTCATTTATTTTGTCGCTGGCAGGACAACAACCGTTAAAAAATCAGAATTCCAGAAATGCCGAAAATTCTAGGTACAGAACAAACTTGTGCATGTTACATTTGTTAAAGTTGTCAGACTTTGTTACTTTGCTTTACGTGAATAAACATTGTATATATTTATTCTTTTATAATTTTCAGAGATAGCGATGACGATGGTCAGGACAATGCTTCAGATGTAAGTGATATCGAAGTATTACCGCCGAAACCTGTGGTCACGTCAACGAATGAGAAAGAAGATATGGATGAAGATACAAATGCACAACTTACCAGTCACGACTGGTCTTTCCTATCTGCTATATTTCCCGATCAAGCTAACATTCTTTGATTCGTATCAAAATTATTGTGAACTATGATGGTAAGATAATAAAATTATCGATTGAACAATACATCTCTTGTAAAATAAAATATATAAAAGACATACAAAGTATAGTGATGAAACGTTAATAAAAGATTTAGATACGTGCGAATCAATTATATAAAGTATATACCTAATTTAATTAAGATGGTTTCGGTAATTGGTCTAATCGTGAGGCAAGTTCGGCGAGTTCGATGACAGCTTCATTGATCCTTTTATTATAAATCGGATCTTCCTTCATGTTTAAGAGGACAAACTCTTTCTTGTCTCGAAAATAGAACTTGACGTAAGATTCCGGATTGTTCATTAATTGCGCGGCAAGATTATCGTTCATTAAAACCGTAGGAAAGAAGAGTACCGTGGCAATAACGGCGCCTAGACGTTGTTCCTCCATACCTTCAATTAGTTCTGACCATGAAGGTATTTGCACACGGATTTCATGCATGTTCAGAGTCTCTTGCAACGTGTCATAATAATGACGCAACATCGTGCTCTCCCAAGTTTCTCGGAAGCTCCGGTCTGTGCACAGATACAATAATTGTGCTACATCGTGCGCCAAGGGAGAATATCTCAATAATTGGAAGTCTACCAGCAAGCATTTAGGAGGCACGTCGTTGTTGAAAAGAAGATTGTTAGCCCAAAGATCCCCATGACTAACCACGTTCGTCTTTGTGCGTGATGGCTTTATACTATGATATATCTCTTCGCAGACCGAACGTATCAGATCGGGATCATATCCCAAACGTTCGGCTACAACTGCGGCTACATCGATGCCTGATTGCATCCACTCCCATGTCATTCCTTCTCGAGCATAGCCTCTCTCCACGAAGGCGTCAGGATACAACCGGTTGAGAGATGTGCCAAGACGAGTTTCTGCCAGCAAAGAAGCGGCATGCATTCGCGCGAGAGCGCTTAAACCCGCACATATTAGTGACTTATCGAATAACTTGTCCCGTATCGAGTAGCCCTTACCACTTAATTCCTCAAAAACTATCGAATCGCTCTTTACTTTGTAGCACATCGCCGCCCATGGTTCTCCGCAATATCCTTCAAGAAGTAATGGCATTATGACACTATAAAACGTTGTTTCTTGCTTGAAGACACCTTTTTTTATAATGTAGTCGGCTGAATCGGGTAGGTCATAAGGTACGGCCTTGATAAAGAATGAAAGAGTAATGGTTTCCTTTTTTCTCATAGCTATTATATCGAGCCGATAATGAGAGCTGAGATATCCGAGCCTGCCATTGGAGTACGGTCGAATAGCGTATTCTATTAGATTGGTGTCATTACTCAGTGCGCGTTTTGTTATCTCCTTCACTTCTTCAAAAGAGAACAATTTGTTAATATTATTATTCTTGGTGATATTGATGGTTTCCATTTTTAAGATATTCTTTTATTCGCCGTATCAGACAACCGTTCTTTCCGTAAACGATACTTTCGGGTAATTGAAAGTATCGAGACAATCGGTTCATCTTTATATACTCGTTGTATACATGTCGACGATGCATTATATTTACTTATTTATCAACCGATTCTGTTGCATATATATATATAACATAACATATTTCCATCAAGATATCTTCCGATAAAAGCTTTCATCACATGACATTTTCAGAATGATATAACAAAATTAAGATGATGTATGTTAAAATCATCTGTTTCTTGTACAGGATGTCTCAGATACTCCTCACTCGTATATTCTTTTTATCTTCGCATGATAAGGTCCAGTTCAAAATATATTTAGACAATAGTTTTAGGATTTAAAAAGATTTACTACTAATCTTATTAGTTTGACTTTGAGTAACGTCATTAAGATCAGGTCAACGTCACATTGATTTTTTAAAAATGGAAACTCATTTTTGTTACATATTTTTATAGTTTATCTCAAGAGTTTTTCAAAAAATCATAACAAAATATTTTTTCATTAAGTACTTTTTTAGTTGTAAGATTTGAAAGTTACAGTACCGCCGGAATTAGCATTATCTAGGTGTTTGATTGATGCTTAAAACATTTTAAACGTTGTTTAGGGTCATGATCTTGACATCATATATCATGATTAAGGTCTTTAGAAATTGTTCCCCTTATTTTCATTTTTTAATATAAAAATGAAAGTGTATTTTTTTACACTAAAAATAAAAATAAAAGAAACAATCCTATATGTCGTTATACTTATATTTAATAATAAAATTATTTGTCAACTGAGATTAAAAAAAAATAAAAAAACATTCAATAGAAACTGTGAATGTTTAAACGATTGCAATAGTCATTCAATTCTTAATATTAATATGATAGAACATAAATATACGATTTTGAGTTTCAGAGATTTAGAAGAATTAAAAAAACACACACACACACACACACACACACACACACACACACACACACACACACACACACACACACACACACACTTCCACGAGAATATTTTTAGACTGCAGCTAAGATCTTTTATACCTATGATAAATCTTTCCGTTGATGCTGGTTCGTCCGCTGATAAGACATCGGTATGAAAACGTCATAGTGTTTGATAAAAATCTACAACAGACTTATGTATCGCAACACTTTAAATACCTGTTATCCAGACGTGTGAAATCCAAAACTGCATTTTATCTTTTGATATCCTCCAATTTGCATTTCATTATTGCTGAATATACAAGGAAAAAATAGGTTTTTGCTGAAGTATATAAAAATTTAGTTATTATATGATACAGATCTGAAAATAATTTTATTAGATCTAGCAAAGATTTTTTTAATAATTAAACCCAAAATTTTTTTTCGTGTATAATAATAAATATTTAAGATTATAGTAATATGAGTCGTATCTTACTAGAATTTTACATGACAACTTTTAGATTAAATTAAAAAAACTAAAACGTAAATTAGAGTGTACTAAAATATGAATACGAACTGCCGTTACAATTTTTATAGTTTTGTGGAAGTTTAATTGATTTATTTTATTTTTCAGATGAAATTGAAAAAAGATAGAAAATCAATGAAATCATTATTTATTTTCGCTGCAACAATGAACTGTATTGAATCAGTTTTTACAGAGACAAAATGATGATTAATTAGCGACTGCACGACGAAAGCCTTGGCTCATTTGTGACGATGTCAAGATGACAAGATTGCGTGCTTTATGGTGCAGTTAACAAAAAAAGCGCGGCACTCCTTGACCTGTATGCAGCGAATTTGTCAGACAATATATCCTACGCATATTTCTCAAACAGCGACTGAAATTCAACGTTATTCCGCACGCACCCTTGCACGAACATCTCATCTTTATCTGTACGAATGTGAAATGGAAATATTGCGTTTTCCTCTCTTTAAAATAATGAAAATGGAGATCGAAGTGTAAATTAGGAACATCGAAACGTAAAAGAGATGTTAAAATAATTATTTCTTAAAATGTAAAAAATAAATCGCACACAAGTAATTGAACGGATAATTTTTTTCGAATTTATATCGAAGGCTATATCGGAGACCTCTCGTTGCAAAAGCATGTATTGCACGATTAAAATCAACGAATTCTGACCCAATAGAAATGTCGACAGTTGGTTATATTCTAAATTATAAACCTTGTGGAAGTTACCTAAATTATCGTCAGTAAGCATACATGTGCATGTTGCGATCACATTTGCAATCGATCGTACACTTGATCGTGTAAATAGGCCGATTAAAAGAAAATTTTATCCAAATGTATAACAAAGTTGATTTCTACAATTTGTTTAATTAGCTGATTAATGTTTCTTACCAGACTGAATGTTTGTTCACGTGCACCTCAATCGAATCTTTGAACACATGTCTGTGGATCAGAAATATGGTTTCGAATATTTTGAGAAGAAAGAAAAAAAAATTTTCTCCTTGCTCTCTCTCTCTCTCTCTCTCTCTCTCTCTCTCTCTCTCTCTCTTTGATGTAATAAAGATTATCATTGAATTATTATATGTTTTTATTACTTTTTTGATACATCCAGTGCGATGTATGATCAGATGCGACCGGCATATGGAGTATATTTTTAGCTGGGCGAAGTACAATTAATTTTCGGACTCATTTTTATTTTAACTCAGAAACTCGTTCAAGCGATATGATATGCAAAAAAAAACAGATTGACTGAATGAATTTTTAACAAGATCATGAAATTGTTATTTATTTAAATTATTAAATTCAACGGTGTGCGTATGTGTGCGTATACATAAAATTATTAAATTCGACGATAGTTGACTAAATTCAACGATAGTCATCTTTCTTGTACAAAATTTAAGTCAGATGAAAATTTGTGTATTTCTTTAACCTACGCTTATTTACGTAAAATTTTTAGCTCTGCAATTTTTCATGACATAAATTTGCTCCACAAGGACAACAATTGTTATAAACATTTTCGTCTTGAGTCACAACAAGAATCGTCGACAATGTCGTAGCGATTGTTTCACGTTACCATAAATTGATTTGGAACGATTTAGGAGGGTGTAAGTGTGCGTGCGTGCGTGCGTGCGTGTGTATGTATTTGAAAAACGCCTTGGGATATCGTCGGCTTTAATGGCCCGAGTATAAAAAATCAGAGAAAACGTAGCTAGAAAAAACAAAGCTTTAATGTATCTTTCTTTTAACTATTCTATCACAGTTCTTTCAGATACATTCTGTTTGTTTTCTTTTCTCTTGTGCTATTGTAAAGCACGAGTGCTCTGAAAATGACAGTATCATCGAGGAAAATAGTTCTGATGATAAAATAATGGATGAGTTCCGGTGATGTATAATCTCGAAAAAAATTCAACTTTTATATTCGATGAGATTTATAGCATAAAAAAAGAAGCCGTTAAATAGGTAACAAAGCATCACGTGATGTTGCTGAGTTCACCCGAGTGAATCTCTTCCACCATTTTCTTGTGAAACGAGAAGAGCCAATTTGCCGCACTTTGAATATTAATCCATGCAACCGTGCAACACCGATGATTCTATAAACCAGCTAAACTTGCGGAGGAGTATTCGAGCGGAGGCACTTCATGGAACTTTAATTATTGCCCGAAGACATTCGAAGTGACTGACATGAAGTGTATGCGTAATTGCGTTACCATTTGCGATCCAACGATCCCGATATTCGAATATTAGTTCCTATGTAATCCAATATGGAGACAATTCTTCTGTAGAACCTTTCTTTTATTAATAATAAAGATTTGCTTAAATGAAAAATAATGAGTCATCTATTAAAATACTTGCATCTTATTTTAATTGAAAAATCAGTTAAATATTATTATTATGTCAAGAATTTATCACAAAATTATCGTCAAAAGTGTATCGACATTATTATGATTCTTCCTAAAATGATCTTTACTTAGTATTTTAATCTATTATGATTTTATGTTCTACAGAATAACAAGTCATTAAATCAAAATAAATCGTTATTGATTGAAAAATGACTTCCAGAGTGTGTTTAAGAAGATATATCAGCGCTTTGTGTTATTCTTGTGCTATCTTTTACGAAACTAAAGAATAATAAAAATATACAGTAAAAAAAATTTTATTTATGTTAAAAATAATCCACTCAAGTATTAAAATTTCGTGTTTTGAGTTTTTAATATATTCTGATTGATTTATTAAAATGTAATCACGTTGTTTAAATATTTATTAAATTGATATTCAATTTCTTAGTATCAAAATAACACAATTGTGAGAATAAATAACATAAGAATAATATGTTCCAAATATAAATTCTAAGATGAATGAATAAAATATACATGTTAATTTAATGTTTATCATAAATATTAATTTTACTGAAAAGCCATACTTCCATAGTTTGCTGACAAATTGCGTCAATATTTTCTATTGATTTTGTAATATCTATTACTTTCCAACTTATTCATCTTGTGTTAAATTAATAAAAAAATTTAAGTGGTCTATCGGGACACGTGAACTTTATATTAAATTTGTTTTAAATTTAATACAAATTTTCCAACTGAGTATAATTTCCGTGTTTCTTCATCATAAACATTGCTACAACCCCCTATTAATCTTCTGCAGAGTTGATCGAGAGAAGTTTGTAGGCCAACCCTTTTAGGGTTGTTTTAATCAACGAGGGCGTCGTCGTCGTCGTCGTTGACGACGCCGTCGCGTCGACGGGGACTATATTTGTTGCCGCCAGTTTCTCGGCGGTGGCGGCGCGCGCACTTCGAGTCACGTTTGGTTCGCGCCCGCTCGAGAAGGAGTTTAGTAGCAGCTGCGCGTCCGCGTGCCACGCGAACTGTGAGTATATTTACCATTCGGTTGCAACGTCTGTCAATCGTCGGCTGTTAATCACCGGTAAGAGTTAAAGCCGTTCTTTATTTCTGTACGTAATAATGAAGAGTAGCGCGGAACGACGAAGGACGGACGGGCGAGTACGCGCCGTCTGAACGATCTGAACTTTGCCGCGAGTCACCGCGAGACCGGCGAGACTCGCACGAACGTGGCCGTGAGTATACCGCGAGGGCGGAGTGTTTGCGCGCGCGCGCGCGCGCGAGCGCGAGGACAGGTACGTCGTTTTAAC